TAAGGCTTTATGATTTCATTATTCCTATTTCCATTTTTCCATTCAACCATCCAACAGTCGTTGCTAGTTACCATGTCTTTGTGGATTACAATTACTGATACTATGGTTTATGTTTTTATTTAATTTCAATAATTCCCCATCTCTGAACTGATTCCTTTCCTTGGTAAACTGAGAATCTTCCATATGCCCGACTTCAGTCAACTATATACCTTCAACTCCACCCGCTCACTTTAGAGGGGCTCCACCTCTCTCTCATCATATGATATGAGTGTGGTCTGTGTGTGTGACGAGTTGTTGGATCTGGAAAATATTTGGGAGAGAGCCCGGTGCCGCCCTCTCTTCCCAATGCTGCCTTGCAGCTGTCTCTTATCGCCCCGAGCCAACAGGTGTCCTTGTGAGAAGGATTTGTGACGTCAATGCTGACCAGGCCTCAAACTGAAGTCACCAGGGAAGAGCCATGGCAAGGACTTGCTTCATTCCCAAAATGGGCCTTCATTATGATTTGTGGGATGATTTGCAGTTTCTGCACAACATCTGAGCTATGTGTCAGAAAACTAGGCAGCACCTACGCGGCACAATCCTGGAAATGCATCCATTGGATAAAACCAAATGCTTCTGTGGCATTAAAGGCAACACTTAAAAACCCATTATAAATAAGTGCTTGTTTTGTCTTTGTCCAGACCAATTTAGTGTTCAAGGAAAGGACGGATGTTTTTGTAACCACTCCTCCCATACAAGGCATTTTGCACACACATGCAGCACACTTCAAATCAACAAATCAACAAATCAACAAATCAACACAATAATCAAACAAAGTGCTTTTTTCGAATATTTATTTACTATAATGTGCCCACACACAAGCAAGCCACATAATCCACAAAAAAACATAACCATGAACAATTACATATAAATGGTAGAAAGGTTTGTTGGTGCTACAGTATGGAACGGCCATGGAAAGCAAAACAAGACAGAGAACAGCATCAGGAGAGAGTCTTCTGATGGTGTGATCCAAATAAAGGGGGCTAAGCGGCCAATCAATCCCTCCCCCCCCTCAAACTTCACACCCCTGGCTCATTTTGGCGTTACTGCGCATGTGATTTATTTACTCTTTTGTTTTACTTTGCAGCTACAGTTGGATGCATTTGCTTTTCAGTCTGTCTCTGAAGTAATTCTGGCAATTGCAATAGAACATTTGGGATAAGATACATTGTGAAAAGCTGTGTGAAGGTGTTGGAAATAGAATATTGAAAAGAAATGCATCAATGTCTCCAGAGAAAACACAGTGATTCCTCTGTGGGCTGAAATCCTGCCTGTGTTGACACTGACACAATGTTTTCAAACAGTCTCGGTATTGTCATGGTCTGTGTCATATGGCTTTGTCACAGTTGATGATAATTATTGTGTAACGTGAGCAACATTTCTAACTTCAGTTGAGGGTTTAATTAAACCACTCCAGAAATGATGATCGATGTATGATTGTGATGATGGCTAATATAACTGATGAGATTGCACATAGTTGAATATTGAAAAATGTAGTCCTGTGTTTTCATTGATTTCAAAATCGCCAAGATCAGTCATATATAGCATTTATTTTAACAATGGTGAAAACAGATGTGTAGAGCCACCATAAGAATCTGTAGCTGTAGCAGCTTTGGGAGGTGCATCGAGTTTAATGTTAGCATGCTGACATGATCATGATGACAATGCTAACATTCTTATTTTAGGTTCAACATAAAAACAAGTTGGCATTTAATGTGTTTATCAAAATAATGTTATAGTGAAAATGTTGACGTAGTTGCACTAGGAAAGGTCACATTAGTCAAAAGTTATTACATTTCAACCTCTTTGATGTAATGATTATTCTCTTTCCATTTAGTAGTTGTTGAGATGATTCAGTGTGGAGCAGGGTTGTTGCCAACACCAGAAATAAAACATAATTGGGTTGTTTTCAACCTCTACAAACATCCCTATCGGATGAAGCACAATATGTTTTGTAACTGATTGCAAAATGTCGAATTGGGTTTAATTGGTTTTCAAATATAATTGGAATTTAAAAGTCATAAAACACCTCTCCAATCTTCCCTTTTAGTTTTGTCCCTGAAAGACCCAGATAATTGTTGGAGTGGTCATTGACTATATTTAAGATACCATTTAAAAGTGGTATCTTACCTCACATATCACTTTTGGTTCATTTATATAAAAGCCAAAGTGTTTGGGGAAGCAGGAGTCATTTTTGAACTTGTTTACATGATCAGGATTTGCGTATTTCTAATTAAAACGTCAGACTTTTTGCATAATTTGCTATGAAGCATCAAGATTCTCTTTTAGATATAGTCTTGTGAGATGTGATCATTTTTTGTTATTCTTACAGACTCCTGTGGTTTATGCTGGGTCCCTGGGAAGTGTTAGTGTGGTTCAGTGTTCAGTGTTGAAGTGATTCATTTATATATTATATTATATTATCTAATTTTGAAGGATCTGAACATATTTACATAGTGACTATGAGCGACCCCAGACAAAGAGTTGGAGTGTATGCATGGAGTCTTAAATCAGATCCTGTTCAGGTTGTTTCTTGAAATAAATCTTTTGGTATTTTACGCATTAAAGGTGGGGTAGGTAATTTTGGAGAAACCGGCTCGAGTGTGCTAGAATTTGAAAATACACAGCCGGAAAAAATCTGCCACTTCCTTACAGAGCCCCTCCTCCAACACACACAAACGCGCACATGACCAATGAGGGCACGAGATAAGTTTGTGCACAGATGGAAGGCTGACAGGCAGGTAGGCCATCCAGTTATTTTAGCCGGGCCGGCTAAAATGATTGGTCGTGCTTTTTACAGTACTACGGCTTCCACAGATGAAATTATTTTATGGATTTTTTGTCAAAGCACTTAAGATATTCATTGCTATCGGGATGTTAAGAGCATTCCATGGAATATAACAAAAAGTGTATCTCGAGCCGGTTTCTCAAACGTACCTACCCCACCTTTAAGTGCATTACGCATGTGATATAAGAGGCATATTACTCATGTGCTGGCTGCCTGTTTCTGAACTGAAACAGTTTTTTTATTTTATGTTCCAGATATTTGACAGTCTGTTGAAAACAGCAGCTTTGTTAAATATGTCATGTTTATGTTTGGTTTCACTATAAAACAGTTTTGGTATTATTATTATTATTATAATATTGCTATTGAAATTCCTATTACTGTCAAGATACCTTATTAAATGATGGTATCTAACCTCTGGACTAACCTTTTGATGTGGCTTTTGAGTTAATGAGCTCTACCATTTTCAACTTGTATTTAATCAAATGTGTTTTGAGGGAAAAGTAATGCTGCTCAGACGACATTATTTGAATTGAAGTCAGTCAGTTGTTCGACACTTTGTTGTCAAATATCGAAACAACTACAGGATACTTTACCATGAGCTTTTCTAGATTGATTAAGTGATACATTGATTTGCCATCAGGAGTGCTATGTTAATCATTTGGTTCTGCTATAAACAACACCGTAGGGCTGGGTTTACCCGTCCCTCTGACAGACCCACGCTCCCACAGAGCTTTAGCGGTCCCTCCATGTGTTGTTTAGTCAACCACACTGTCACAACTATTTTTGTGCAAGAGAGGGGAAATAAGTGGTATAATTTTGTTCTTGGCTATCACACAAGAAAATAAAGCTTATGTTTTATCGAGCCTCGCCTTTTATCACATTTGCATGATTAAACCCTCTGGTTTTGAGTGACAGGATCCACTTAATAATAATTCAGGTACTCCGTGTTCTCAACTCCAATTTGCACCAGGAATGATGGCAATTACACACCCAGGGTTATGTGTTGCCAAATCCGGCCATGAGCTTGAAGGCTTTAGCACCTGGTGACATCCACTGTCCATCCAAGTCCTGAGTGCTTATTTAAAGGCCCAATTGTTGAATACGGCTCTGGGCACTTGGACTGAACATTTAAATACTCTAATAGATTATATAAAACTTTTAACAAATGCAAAGGCTTTAAATATTTTACCCAAAATGGAAAGGACTGAGAGAGAAGAGGCAAATTGCACCTTCGTCATACAGAATGATGCCGATATGGGCCATGCTATATTTATGAATTTAAGTTAAACTCATTTTTTAGACTAACTCTGTCTTCAAAGTCATATAAGTAGGCCCTTGGGCACCAGTGTTATCAACCCTTTACAGAGGAGGGAAGCTAATCTTGTCTGCTGGTCATTTAATGCAGTTAGTAAGGCTGGCTAATACACCAACCGCCAACAGCACCATTTGGTGCTAAGTATGTTGCATTTTAGGAACTTAGGGGACTTTCTCTGACTAAGGTGAAACGATGCGTGTATTGTGTTCCTTTTTTCACACTTAAAGTCAGGAATATACTTACTATCAACGTTCAAGTTTTATATCCCTACACTCAACAGGTTACACTTGATCCACCTGACAACTGATATGTAATTAAAACAAATCAAACCTACAGCATTATGTAATACTATCTCCCCTATCGTACAGTATATTCGTTATTCATTTGTAAAAGAAGTCTGAAACTGAGAAACATCAGCAAAACAAAAACAAATACGCAAAGGAAAACATCATTCACCAAGAGAACACTAAACAAGCTAACCACTCAATTCTCATAATAATGAAACCATAATACAGAACACTACAATAAAAGATTGAGAAAACAAAAACTATACTGCGTTCTGAAGTGGATGATCTTGAAAATTATTCTCAGTATTACCAGAGGATGATATACAATTATGAAACATCCTCCACAGTACTATGTTACACTATCCTTCCTATTGTACAGTATGTTGTATAATTAAATTACAAAATAAATCTGGAGAACTCATTACATTGTCCATGGTTTCAAGTAACAAAGCAAAAATGAAAAAAGAGAGCCTATTATATATTTTTCCATGAACATAAAAACAAGGAAACCAATCAATACTCATTATAAGGAAACCAGAATTAAGTTATCAGTACGGTGAAAATCAGGAAACTAAACACTCCCTCTGTGCTCAAGTGGAGGATCTTGAAGATTATTTTGAGTTTCAGCGTGGACTTCAAGGACCTCTGCTTCTCCAATCCTCTCTGGAAAATAATATTTAAGTCAACAGTCACACAAAGCCAGTATTTTCATTAACCACATCTGTTCTCTTTAGAAATAAAAGAAAAAAGGGTATAGAATACAGAAAACTACTGAATGTTGCAATACTGTAAAATCACAGTTTTCTATCATATTGTCAAGCGCATTTCCTTTAATATTGTATTTAAATAGCATACTTAACAGTCTTCTGTTAAAAAATGTAATATTCTAAGAAGTACGAATCATGGAAGACACAAAAGACAATTTCAGTGGAGGATAATTGCACTTTTCAAACAGGAACATTTGAAAAAGGAGGACTTTAATGACTTCCAGGACCCCCTGCAGTGCCTGTAAGATGACTGCCACTGAGGCCCCGCTCACACGGGACTGTTTGCGTTTATGCACAGTATGCGTATTCAAAAAAGTCTTCCGTTCACATGCATTTGTTTCATTTAACGTGTCTGGTCAAACGAGGCCGCTGGAAACGCTGTAGTACATATGCCGGGACTGTAAGTGGCGCTGTAACTTCCGCCAAAATACACCAAAAGCCGCGAAGAAGAGCAGCCCGAGCAGCCCCGCTGCAATGTTGCCATGGCTACCCTTCTGTTTAAGCCCCGCGGTGTATTTAGCAACATGTAGTTCATGTAATTCTCCATGTCCACTTGTTGCTGATGGTTGTATCGCTATTTTTTCAGGAAATATTCGTATAGAGGTGATTACACGGACTCGGTTGACCCCCCAGAGCGTTTCGTTTGCAAATCTATCCACCTTGGGACCCGTTATCGTTTGTGGGGTCAGTTTCTATCGGCCTCGTGTAAATAATAGGGCTATACGCACGCGAAACTATGCAGATACAAGCAGTTTTCTCCTCGTGTAAACGGCGCCTGAGTCTATGTTTCATCAGAGTAGAGAAAGAACTGTAATTTAATGCAGGGACACACACAAACTCAGTTGGTGGTTCAGCTTTATTGAAAGGTGAAGCATATGGCAGGACACATGCATTAAGAAGACTACAGCGGATAGGAGAGAGAGTAGAAGAAAATGTTCCGGTACAATATATCACAACAACCTATGAAAAATAATAAGAAAGTAGTCACCTGGTTTCTCCACGCTGAAGGCTTGGTTCCTTCTGTATGAGCTGTGGAAGTGAATAAACAATGTTACACATGCTGAGCTTTGAAAGAAATAACCACCAGAACCTTTGAGATCCTCCTGACCTCGTTCTCTGAGGTTTTCTCCACGACTGATCACACGATGGACCGTACACCACCGGAGATGCACCAGGATGAAAAGCCTGGAGCTGCTGGAAGCTCCTTTGTGGGTGGGCCGAGAGGTCGACTCCGTCCAGAGCCTGCCTGATCATCCCCATCACCAGGTCCTTCTCTGAGGGTACGCCACATCACATAATGCCAGGAAATATCCATTGAGAGGTTTAGTGACTCTTCCATCAGCAGAGCAATTAAACACTCTATTGTGGTTAATGTAATTTACTGTGTTAACTCATGAATACAAATTAAAGTGGACCTATTATGCTATATTTGAAAAATATGTTGTAGGGCCATACCTATACAAAACATGTCTGTGAAGTTTTTTGCTTAAAATACCAAACAGATCACCCATTGTAGCCATGCCTCATACCCCTCTATTCCAGCCCTGTTCCAAAAAGGCTGATTCTGTGACCGTAGCTTTAAACGGAACAGCTGCTGCTAGCCACGCCCCTTTGTAGCATCACGCAGCTTTCCCCTGCTAAGAGAGTTTTCTACCGGGAGAAACTCAGCTAAGCGCTGCCGTGATTAAATGCCATATTATGTTCCAAACCACTTCAAGCATTATTTCTGAAACAGTATGGAGCTCATAGGTTTCTCTCTCGCAGGGTTTACTGCAAGGACATTACGTTACACATATTCTCTCCAGTACAGTGTTAGCTCTGAGTGTTAGCGATGCTTGCTAATGTAAAAACAGACCATATTACTCCCAAAATACGCTGCGCATTGTTTCTGATACAGCACATAGCTTGACATGTTCTTTCTTAAGTGTTTACCGCTAGAACAGTGCCATTATATGTATTATAACAAGTGCCTCCTGCAGACATCCTTCTGAATACACAGACACACAGCTGCGAGAGGGGATTCAGCTAGACTACTTTATACGGAGCCAAATCCTGGATCTGCTCGTTTGCACCCCCGTTTTCTTATTTTTTTTTTAGAGATGTGGGTAAGGAGGAAAAGAGAGAGGGTTGTATTTTCTGAAACTTTGTGAGTCTCCTTACACACCGGGGACACATATTTATGTATAAAAGACATCAAAAAGTGCATTTTGAATAATAGGTCCCCTTTAAGTTAAAATACAGTAATAATTGGCAAAGACAAAGATTATCTTCAAAAACATTATACACTTTTTTAAGATTACATTCAAATGTAGATCCACAACTTAATTAACTGAGTGCATCATTACACACTGTAGATATGCCCTTATCTACTAATCTGCTAATTTGACCTTTTAAACAAATATATGTAAAATATGATCAATTTACTTGTAGTGTACAGACTACTAAGCATTTGTACCTCTTTGTCCTGCAAGCAGAAGCCACTGCTGGACCGTGGACAGGGAGTCTGTCTGCAGGATCTGACAGAGCAGCTCAAACACCTGAAACAGAGCAGTAGCACTATCACAACATTACTTTGCAAACCACATCATTTTATATTCAAGTGATTACTAGTGATTTTCTCACAAGCCAGGTAACAAGCCTGTGTTCGGAGCTATTTTCTAACAACCTTGGCCTAAGGCTATGTGCTATAACTATTATCTATGGTTTTGGATACCTCCTTTTGATCTGTGGCTAACTCTACTTCTCCCAGAGGAAATGACACTTTTTTGTGGAAAAAACTGTTGAACATCAAGGAAGAACATCAAGGAAGTATTTCACCATGAGTTCTTGATCATGGAGAGGCTGAGGATACATCAGGCGCTGGGAATGGGTTCTGCGTTGGTAAGAGTTAGTGGATGGAGGGACAATTCTCCCGGTTTCAGCTGAATATTGGGTCTTTCGGCGGACAAATTCTTCCTCCTGCATCAAAATCATCCAAGCTCTTCACCGGAAACATCAAATACCAATGCTTGACCAATTATAATATGGCATTGGTTGAGCTTATTGAAGTGTTAGCTTGAAACAAATCATAATTTTCTGAAGAAGATGAAATCATGCAGTGTGTTCAAAAGTGTTGAGTGCCAGATTACAACAATAACAGCAATACACGTACAGGTTTTTTGTCTTTTCCCGCTTCGGAAGACAAGCTGACTTTTGCAGCAAGGTCTTTAAGTTCATCCCTCCAGGCCTCTGAAAATTGTGCTGTGAAAAAAAGGGGGAAATTATTGGAGCTAAATTGTAATCTTTGAAGGCAGAGCTTTTTGAACAGTAATGAGAAAATGTAGGTGGCGTGTGTGAGTGAAATACCTGATTTGATTTTGTTACTACTGATTCCATTAAGGTTGTTTGCGAGTGGAAAATCAAGTGATGGACCAGTGGCTTTCTTGAAGACGTGGCTTTTGAGAAGTGGATGAGGAAATAATGATGAGGTGACAAACCAATCATCTCTCACCATGCAAACAGGTCTACCATTGAGTCCTGTGGGAAAGAGAGAGGCACAATATTCACAGTTCACACACACGACGTACACGTAAAGTGCTTCAAAAGTGTGGGACTATCAAAGGCAACTCCCTGCTGAGAGTTTTGACTTCATAAGGACCTCAGGGATTAAACCCACTCTCTGGAAATAATGCACTCAACTCTTTCATGTACCATATCACTATCTATATGATAAGTTTATATACAGTGCCCATGCAGCATTTCATATACAGTGTAAGTAACCTAAACATCAGGCAAATCAGAATAAGGACAACATTGTTAATGTAAAATTAAGTTATTAGCTCTGATAAATGTGTTTTTGAATATTTATAAAATAGGTGATGTGAGAGTTACCACAGTTATCGGATTGCAAAGCAAAGAAAAATGCTAATTGGGAGAAGTGGAACAACACATATGTAACACCTTTTTATACCCTTTTTTAAAGGGGATGACATATTCTCAGCAGCTGGTCTATCTGTGTGTTCAGTGGGTTTATCAGAGTATGGAGCCTCGATGTCTACATCTACATTCAAAGTTCCAGGTAAATCAGTTCTAATTACTTTGTTACACTCTTATATTAATTCCTTTTTTAGGTTTTTTTTTTGTAAAACATTTGAAAATTCATTGAATAGACTGGCTTGAAATTCAGTTCGGAAATCCATAGTAACCAAATGATTAATCCTACCGACTTTGTTCCTTTATGCCACCAGCAGGTCGACATTTCTGGTTGTTAGTGTAATATTTGTGAACTTTCATTATGCATCACCATCAGGTCAAATATTACATTTGTCATAAAGTCTACTTATTATTTTTAAAACTAATGATATTCCCATGACTCATGACTCAGCCTAGCTTTGTGTTTAGTGCTTATAAACAAATGTCAACTGCTAAAAATGCTAAAGTAAGCAGCTTTAATAACAAACGACTCTTCATTCGGGCACAGATTACTAATAGGTGTCAGGAGAATACCATAATATGCTACATAATAGCATAATTGCTGAATTGAATTGTGCATTATGATAATGTACACATAAACACAGTTCCTATAAATTGTAAATTGTCTTTCCTTTATCCAATTTGAAGAACCTAGATTGGAACAGGAGCGATCTGCTGACTTTATTCAGGTTACTCAGGCAAATAACAATTTATTTTCAAAACACCAACTGATGTCCGTTCTGCACAAATGAGAAAACTCATATGGCAAAGCATGATTCGACCTCCAAATAAATAGCTGTAAGAAGAAAGAAATCATAAAGCACATGCATCACGCTCACCTTGAATATGTCTGACCCTGTGTGGATGAGGGTTGTGACGGGAGAAGAATGAGTGATGACTCAAAGCACCAAAGTGCGGACTGCTTTTTGTCAGCATCTTGGTGAATTCAGGAGTAAATGACACCTGATTTGTTTGACTGCGGCTCCTTTCTCCTGTCGTCCCACAGGAGTCTGTTCTCTGTGCCATCGACATATCTTGAAAGGACAGCTGGAAGTTTTGTCTAAATCTGTCTTTAGTGCTGAAAACTAAAACCTAACTAGACACTCACATTTAATTTGCTCCAAAGACAATTTTGCATTTAGAATTAGACCAAGACATTTTGTTTTTTGTGTTCTACCAGGTTGAAGTAATTATATTTTTAGAAGAAAATACATTTGAATAATCACTTTACCTCAGAAAACATCCTGCAGCTCGAAACCTTTGGTGTTTCATGAACTGTGTTGCTTTTGTTGCTAAGAAACCCTAAACAAAAGACAATGGCACAATGGGAAACAGGCATTCCAGTTCATTTAAACTGGTTTTTCAAACGCAAAGCAGCAGAAATCAACTATTATGTGATAGTTAATTAAATAAACATATATTCGATTAAAGCCTACTGTAGCTGTCAATGTGAACTTCCTGATTGAGTCACCTAACACCTCACAATGCTACTGTATGTGTAAATTAACCCGTTTTGTGCTGCAAATATTGTGGCTTATGAATGTGAATGTTGGTGTAAATGTACTTTGATGAACCTGATGATTAATTCCACTAATGATAATGCTGCGTCTCGCTTGTGTCATTCATAGTTCTCAGTTACTCAGTAGATAATTGTAAAATGTTGATTCTTTACTTTTTATGAGGCAAGCTGTACTGTATCGCAATATATATGATTATTTTCTATCAATTTATGATCCAAAGCAGTTGGAGTTAATTATTTTTTTTCCCCTGGAGAGTGTCTGCATGCTTTTTTCTGAGTAAATAGGATCTGAAAAGTAAGGGGCTTAACTAAGAGTGAAAACGAACAATGATTTAGTTTTTTTCAAACCACATGTTGGACTGACTGTTGAGAAGAATTGATACGGCCTATCCAAAACAATGAATCACTTGGCTAAAGGGAGTTGATAAATGCCAGACAGCAACAATGTTTGAATCATACCAGATACATGGAGCAAGAACTCCTCCACATCCGCTGGGAAATAATGTTGACTGGAGTTCTGAGAACAATTTGCTGCTGGTGATAGCAGCAGATCTTAACATTGAAATATGTAAAATGTTATTTATGCTCCTGGGTTTGACTATACATTAGGAAAACATCAAGACTGCTGATTGTTTTTCCTTGCATAAAAACAATAAAAATGAATATAAAATGACAGTTTATGCCAAGTAAACATTTGGGAAGAGTGCCTCTCATGGTCTTGTTGTTACAGCAGTTACCAAGCAACCAATGTGAGTTTGTTGTCAAGAAAATGTTGGACTTTAATTGCACTGTTGGGCAACTTTCTGTTTTCAAACATTATCAAAAATATTTGTGTCTAAAACTCGAATAAAAAATGGAATTATAATCTGAGACGCTGTGGGCCCGATGGTGACCTAAACGCAAAGGCTTACAATCTAATAAATACTGTGTTGGTTATTTGTGAACATTAGTAGTCATAAGTAATCTGAATCTGATCTTTTGTGTTACGAGATATGATTTTACAGGGCAAACAATAATAACAGTTAGAGGCTGTGATATGTGTAAATAATAAATGATAGTTTTACTAAAGCAAGCTTTGTCTTAAAGCAATCATGGTCAAAATAATTGTGCATGGTTCTGACTCAACCTTGCATAGTTTTGATTAAAAAAAAGTCTGATAGCCGGGGTCTTCCCCAAAGTAATATAAAGTTGACCCTGTGTATTCCAGCTGTTTTGCTGCATACTCTGTAACTGATCAATACCAAAGTTCTATCGCCTTTGGGACTGTTTACTACTCTGTTGTTTTTATTTTTTAGACATGCTATTACATCAGTTTGGTCCTGGGCTCTTCAACTATTGGATGGATTGCTATGAAATTGGCCACAGGCATTCATATTTCCCTCGGGAGGAATTAATAATTGGTGTCCCGATAACCTTTCACAGAGCTAAAAATACACACAGACACCGAAAATAGGATTGGTAGATTTTGACCACATAGCCCAAATCCCACTAAAATGTATCTATAGACAGCTGAATGAGCTCATCAGTTTTCTCTTGTAGCGAGAGAACATTTTGTGATTTCCCTGCAGTTCTGTCTAAATGAAACACAATACATTCAAACAAGGTTGAATGATTTTGGGCTCATCAGTCTCCGTGATCCATTTTTCTTTTACCCAGTTCTCTAAAGCCACATCTGCAAAATGTTATGTGTTTCTTACTTTTAACTAAATTGCTGTCAAATTTAGGAAACGGCAAGATTGACAGCAATAGGAAAAGCCAGGGATCACAAAGGTATTATTCTCTATGATCATGAATGAAGCCACCGAGCCTTTCAGTCTAAAGGGGTCTTTCAAAAGACTAACATTGGCAAAGAACTGTAAGCACTTAACACCATTGATTTTCTCCATTCACAATTCAATCCAATTTATTATGCCATAGTTAAGAATAAGCCTTAACATTAAACCGTGTTGTTTAAAATGAGTGTAATCTGACAACAGATTATGAGCCTTTTGGGTTGCAGGTACTTTAAGGCTAATTTGAAAGCTTTACTTTCTATCAAAGAGTAATCTTTTTTTGCCCCCCTAATTTCGGTGCCCTTGCTCGTCCACACCCATCTTTAAACTCAGCCTTCATTTTGATCTTGATAAAACAAAAATAAATATGAACCTGGAAATGTTTTCAAAATGGTAGAACCTGCTGCAGTAGGTGTCTCCAGGTCGACATTTTCCCATGAGGACACACAATCTGTCATGGGTGGTTATAAAGTTTGGCACACTGTGTCGACAATCTGATATCTGTAATTTACATGTAGCCTACGCTGAGGCGAAATGAGGAGTATTACGGTGGGAAGGTGACGAGACAGGGGCAGGAAACTCAGCAGTTGGGGGTGGGGATGAATGATAGAAGAGGCTTTTATGCAGATTGATCGTACAGAACCAGTTACATGGGGGGGGGGGGTGGAGCAGAGGATGGAGCAGTTCCCACCATGTAACAACGCCTTGATGACCTCTCACACAATATGTTTATACAGCATAGATTGAAATCAGAGGCAGCATAAAAATACCATCACATTGCTCAATTTTAAACTAAGTGTTAGCAGAGTAAGCTCAACGTTCCTTGCTGTTAGCATCCAAATAAATCAATAAGTGTTGCGGAGAAATCAGCAGTACTTCATTCAACGAGCACTCCCATTGGAGGCGTGGCTTTATTTTTTTAACTTTAACCTTGCCTGTTATTGGCTGTCAGCCATGCACAACAAAATCACAACACAAATTGGTAGCACATTTACATGAATGTTAAAGGTGGGGTAGGTCATTTTGGAGAAACCAGCTCGAGATCGCTAGAATTTGAAAATACACAGCCGGAAAAAATCTGCCACTTCCTTACAGAGCCCCTCCTCCAACACACACGAATGCGCACATGACCAATGAGGGCACGAGATAAGTTTGTGCCCCGATGGAAGGCTGACAGGCAGGTAGGCCATCCAGTTATTTTATTTATTTTATAAATAAAATTTATAATAAATAAAAATAAAAAATGATTGGTCGTGCTTTTTACAGTACTACGGCTTCCACAGATGACATTTTTTTTATGGATTTTTTGTCAAAGCACTTAAGATATTTATTGCTATCGGGATGTTAAGAGCATTCCATGGAATATAACAAAAAGTGTATCTCGAGCCGGTTTCTCAAACTTACCTACCCCACCTTTAACACTACGTTTTTAAGAAAGGTTGAGTTACATGAATGTGCATCTAGATTAAAAAAAATGCAAATAACGTGGTGTCACTGGAAAGTGCACTGTAGAAATAATGCTCTACTGCAACCTATAACTGTATTGAAACAAATTGTACAATATGTAAAAGCTTTGGACATCAAACAAATTATGCTGAGAGCATTAACTCGGGTTAACATTTTGTTGTGACATTTTGTTTAAAAAAAAATGTGATCATTAAAGATATTTTTGGTTGTAGGGGTTTTAAACAGCACATTTGGGGATTTTCTAGTGCATTTTAAATTATTCCGCTGTAATATTGTTCTTTTTTTTCATTTCACACTGCTGAGGACATCTTCTATTGCATCATTGGTAAATTGTGCTCTACATTTTTGTTTTTACTTTTGTATTTGTTTCTTGTTTCCTGTTTTCTATTTCTGAATAATTTCTTAAAAGCTTTCTGGGAGGAAATGTATAATTTGGTTCTTATTACAGGACAAGTCTTTTAGAAAGATTTGGTGGTTCATTTCTAGAGGAATTTCCTTGAAATAAAATCAAATGTAAACCTAATTAAATATTCATTATTTGCAACCATTTTCTTTGTATGGTGTTTGCCAGAAAACAATGTAACGACTGCATGTCCAGCTGTCCTGAAGCGCTGACAAAAGACTGGTTGCATCCGCTTGTATAATAACACTTAATGAAGTGGAAATATATAACAATTTAATCCTGTCTCTTTTTGAAACCTAATTAGTGCAAAGCTAATTTTTTTCCCCTAGGGAAATGAGGATATGGCCCCTTAATTAGAGAAGAAATATATGATGACAAAGAAGTAAAATAATTACATTTTATCTGCAGACTCACTATATGTTAAGCTGGGACCCACAGATGGTCATGTGACTGTGTCCCACATTGGAAACACACATCATTTTAAGTGTGTGTTTCATTGTTCATTTGTAAGAGAAATACTGTGCTATTTCCAGCTGAAAAGTGAACCAATTGGACTATAAAGCATCAAAATTGCCCCATGTCTACACCATGTTTTTCATTTGGATTTATTATAGCTCTGCAATAAAGGTGTTTGTAAAGTGTAATGGTTTCTTTTTTTATTACACAGGATATTGTTTACATGGTTATAACATGTCTTGTTGTATACATTGAAAGACTGTATCACCCACAATGTGCCTTGTTCACGCCAATACAGCCTATTTTTTTTTAAATTGCATTTATAGTAAACAGTGAAATAACATTTTAATGATTTGCATAATGCATTTCCCGTTTGTGTACCATAAAAAGATTCAACGCTAAAAGTAATCATATCATTACCGACCATAAAGGATCATATTCACACACACACACACACACACACACACACACAGAGCCACAGCAGCATGTGGAGCTAGGATGAAGGAGGCAGCTTCCGGACGGGTTAATGAAAAGCTTTCGGCTGTGCACCATCAGTGTTTTTTTTTCCTGCCTTGAAGCAAGTTGTTCTCGGGGTTGATGAAGACTAAGAATGGCCGCATCTTCAACAGATTCCGGGCAGGGCTCCACCAAGATAACTCCAGAAGTTTTGCAGGAGATGCTCCAGCTGTACAACATGAGTCGCCAGGAGTTTATCAACACTTACAACATCCAGCCGCTCGTTTACATCCCAGAGTTACCGTACAGCGCCAAGACCACCTTTGTGATCATGTACATGCTCATCTTCCTGCTGGCTCTGGCTGGGAATAGTTTGGTGATCTACATAGTTTTGAAGAAGCGTGCGATCCAGACTGCCACGGATATTTTCATCTGTTCTCTGGCGGTCAGCGACCTGCTCATCACTTTCTTCTGCATCCCTTTCACTTTGCTGCAGAACATCTCCTCTGAATGGTTCGGAGGTGAGTTGGAAAACTTTCACACTTTTAAACACAATGATGATAATTAGAGTAGCCTAATTAAGACGCATCAGACCAATAAGCGTATTCACTCTTGGAAATCAACTTAATTGAAAGTGGACGAATGCACCATCAGGTCTTACAAAGGTGCACCTGCGTCGCAAATTAGCTGGATTTGAATGGAAACCAAACACAGCAGCACGCGTGTTACATAGTAGCCTAACAAACAGAGTAAATCGAGCTAATTGCTTTGGTCAGTACCACAGGCTCAGATCCCTTGGAGGAATGGAGCTGGCCACAGCAGGAGATAATGGATTTAGATGACAAATTATGTGTCTTCAAGGATAAAAGAGAAATACATAAAAACAGACAATGTAGGTGACTATTTAGCCCAGGAACTGTGGAAGTGATGTGGAAGATATATTCAAACAGGTGGGAACTGAAGTAACTCAGTACATTAACTCGCTTCCATTTTATGCTACTTTGTACTTCTACTCCACTACTATTCAGAGGTAAATCATGTACTTTTACTCCACTACATTTATTTTGTACCTTTAGTTACTTTACAGCTTTGGATTCATAATGTGAAATACAATTTTAAAAAGACTTTAGTTACACCTGGAGTAAATTCACAAGCTACCCCGCAGTATACAAAGTCATTAAAACTATAGCTGCACCTTTACATGCTTTGATAAGACTGAAGGTGCTGTCACAGTACAGTCCAATACATTGTTGCTGACAATAAACAACACTTCTCCGACAGCATTGACCTAAAATATTTGATTCATAACACCTGGGGATTATCAGATTACAGATGTAATATATGTTCTCAATTGGATTTCATTACATTTTACAGTTGGCATTATGTGATACCAACAAGAACCCTTTATCGAAGTCTACACTGTAAAATATTACCATGATTTCACAATATTTAGCTGTAATATTTTACATTAAATTACTGTTTTACCACTTTACAGTCTTACATGTAATGTTTACAATATAATACTGTAATTTTGAATTTCACAGTTAAATCAATGCAGGCACAGTTAATTACTGTAAATGTACAGGATAAATTATTACCAGGATTTCACAACATGTTACTGTATTATTTCATAGTAAAATACTGTATTCAGACCATCCTCTGTGATATCACAACAAATTACGTGATTTTCTTGCTTTTATCGCTCTTGCTTGGCTTTAAATACTAATTTCTTTCTTTGGTGCAGGTTTTTACTTAAATTGAAAGGGGCACCGCTGCATGTGCCTTAAAATAAACGATGCAACATATAAATCTATGTAAAATTGAAATTGTTGTCTTGGCTTATTGTTTTCAGGTGCTTCCTGGGACGGGCTTGAAAGCCAAAAAGAGGCATGGCAATTTAAACCCCCATGTCAGCACATTCTTCAGAAAAATTGTTGACTTTGAGTGGATGTCTGTGTAGACAAGTGCTCCCCTCCTTGTTTTCTGCACCTGGTCTGCCCCTGGCTCCGCCTCTGCCCAGGTGTTCCCTCCTGCTGTTTGTTCCTTTTGGCCAGTCCTCCAGACCTCTTTTTGCTGATTATCAATAAATGCTCATTACCAAGTACCGGTTATTGCGTGTATTCTTTCATGTTGCGGGTCTCAGTACGAGCCACTACCGCGGAGTAGAGGTTGGGGCCGTAACAACATGTCCAAGACACTGTGAAATGTACTTTGCACTTCAGTGGAGTAGTAAAAAGTTAAAATGGGCATTTTCTTTGTTTTTCTTTGTTAATTGAGCTGATTGAATTGTGTAGTTATGGTAAAATCCCATAACTAGTCAAATTTACAATATATTATCGTATTATTTACATTTTTATATTTACCGTAAATTACTGGCTACTGTGTTGCATTACTTCTACAGTAAAAGTGTGAAAATACAGGTAATTACTGTAATTTAGGTACAGCAAGGTACCATAATACCACAGCTCTGTACTGCTACATCACAGTAATTCCATGGGCATGGCAACTGTAAAGTCACAGTATTTAGTTGTACTTTTATTCTAATTTACTGTAAAATATCTACAGTAAATTACTGTGAAATATTTACAGTCAATTACTGTGAAATCCATGCAAATAGTAGCCAGTAATTTACTGTAATTTTACAGCCAAACATTTTACAGTGTAGAGACATTGAGCGTATCATAGCAATAGTAGGCCAGCTCAAAGCATGTGCTCCCATTAAAATGCATTCACAATTAGTTGTGAATGGTGAATCACTGTAGACATAAGATGTGGGTCTTACTACAGTGCACAGTTTCTCCTGGGTTTCTGCTCAGAGCTTCATTATCGAAGGCAAATATGTGTGTTCAAGATACGATCGTTGTGTAATTCCATCGAGACCCAACAGGAAGATGAAAAGATCGAGGGGGAGCTCGCCTCAAGTCTCTGATCAAACAACACCACACAATGTTTTTGGCTGCTTCACTCAACCTCATGTCTGTTTCTTTCTTGCAGGTGTTCTGGTTTGCAAGACAGTTCCCTTTGTACAGACTACAGCCATAGTGACAGGCATCCTCACTATGACCTGTATTGCCATTGAGAGATACCAGGGCATTGTCTTCCCGCTGAAAATGAGGAGACAGTACTCATCCAAAAGAGCAAACAAGATGCTAGGTATGCTATGTGTGCACGGCTGCCGTATTGTGCTTTATTGATTGGATGTTTGTGTGTGTTCAGACACCCTTTTCTGTCAGTAAGAAAAAGGCTGCCATTATTTCAAAGAGAGTGTGTTAACCCAACATGCCCTAAGCTAAATTGGATGATCCAACTTTCTGGCATGGGGTTTGAAATAGAGACGTTAAGACTTTACCCAAAAAAACAAGCAAGGAAAATGTATCCAAACAAAACCCAGAACATTTCTCTAGTGCAGTTGGATTAACCTGTTCTAGCTTTTATCCCTGGCAAGGAGGGGGCAGTGAAGCAACAGACAAGAAATGACACAACAACAACAGAAAGTTTGGAAAGCGCTGCTGAAAATCCTTGATTACAACAGTAACACATAATTAAAAACGGTTTTTTAAGGGCTTATATTTCAGATAAATGATTAACAAAACACTGAAATTATGTCAACTCACACAGTTTTCTATTTGGAAACAAAGTAATGTGGAAGATTCTTTCAGTTGGCAGCGTGACAATTGCATGAAAGAGGAACTAAACTTAGAGTACAGCATCTGTGGCTAATGTTATGTGTTGCTCTCCTTGAACCCCTCACAGTATCAAAATGTTGAAATATTGAAAAAGAAATGTATATGCTGATTGCATCTTTTTCTAAATGTTTAATTTTTCTGTATCCCACAGGACTGGTATGGCTCGCTTCAGTAATTGTGGGTTCACCAATGCTGTTTGTGCAACAGCTAGAGGTAAGTGGGTGGCACTCAAAGCAATCTATCACAAAATGTAACCTTTGTATTTTTTCAAAAAATGGCAAAAAGAACAGCAATCATGATGACTGTCCTCTCCAGCACCACAGATGCTTTGCTTATGCAGACCGAAACACATAAAAAAAGACACCTATTGATTGTGATTAACTTTTTAAGCTGAGCTGCAGTTTTTTACTAATTTAAAACACTAACTGCTCTAATCTTTCAGGCATACAATTAATACTGTACATGACAAGACGTATTAACATGCAGTGGGAGCTGTATCCGCCCGTGACCTGCACCCTTCACCGTTATTTAACTTTCGGGTGGAAGTTTAATTCTTAATCGTTAGTTTTTCCCAGTGAAACTTTGTTTATTGATTTATTCAGAATTTTGGCGTGGGCACTCCTTTGTACTAAAGTGATATCTGTCTGAATTATTGCCATGCATGTTCTCTTGTTTCTCGAGGTTAAAACAGTAGTAAAGGCCAGTACGGTGGGATGATCCTTATGTGGGTGTTAGGATTGTTCTGCCAACTTCTTGCAGCTTCTCTGCAGCAGCATCATCTGTGGATTGTTATCCGACTATGGACATTATGCGCAAATTGACTGCCAAAATAATATCAAACCGATTAAAAAAAAATATATATCAGAAACTCATAGTTGAGTAGCTACTAAATATTTATTTTTATTATATGGTATGATTAATTTGACTAAACTAAAGTTGTGTACATCAGTCTGTGTACATCAGTCGTGTAATATTACAAGTTCTTATATGATAGTCTTATAGGGATATTAAACAAGGACATGCTCGAATGTGGTCTTTCCATTTTTACTTTGATTTATCTTATTTTAAGTTAATAATGATACATATTATCTTAGTCCCATAAAGGATAGAGTAGGAATATTACGTTGATAATATAAAAGTTTCAACATTTGAGAACTACAGTAGTGTTTTGATACTTGTGACAATTTCTGCACTGGGTTTACGAGGTATTGTTCTTATTATATTGTTCAGTGACATGGGAAGAGCAACAAAGCTCTGCCCCTATTCTGTCAGTAGAAAGAATACCTTAATACCTTAGGGAAGCCGATCAAAGCCGATCAAAGCCCCTTCAATAAAAAGGTTTTCAGCTGCTCTGCTCAGGACAGCTGGAGGATTAGCAGTGACTGCTGTCAGTAGAGAATTGGGCACTTCAAAATTGAGAAATGATGGTGTGAAAAACAGTAAGAAAATGAATATGTAATATGTAAATACAAATGTAAAACAGCAATCTAAGAGTTACCACCTACATACCATCCTGTCAGTCAGATCAACTCTATCTGCCTCGCCGACGGTTCGGGACACACCAAATTGAGTTTCGGCGACAGGGCACGCTTCGTCGTCCGACTAACGAAGACGGCCGATTTCGGCCTGGTGTGTCAGGGGCTTAACAGCCTTTCTTCCTCTGTCTCAAAGGTGAAGTATGACTTCCTGTATGATCACTACCACGTGTGCTGTCAGGAGAGTTGGCGCTCTCACACTCACAGGCAGGTGTACACCACCTTCATCATGGTAGCGCTGTTCCTGCTCCCGTTGGCGGCCATGCTTTTCCTCTACACGCGTATTGGCATCGAATTGTGGATCCGCAAGAGGGTCGGCGATTCCTCCGTCCTCAACACCATGAACCACAGGGAGATGGTTAAGATGGCAAGGTGGGTGTTAAGTTAAAAACATTGTACTTTTGGTTATTCAAATGTCGGACATTTTGAGTGTAAAAGAGCTCAGAGGAAATTATGGAATTATTATTTTAAGACTCTGTTGAATACTCAATTCCAAATGGTCAATTCGGACATTATACTATGTATAACAGACCGTTGCTATGGATGCTCTGACCATAGACTCTGAAGGACCACGTCCAATCATATCGTACCATACCCCATAAAGCAGTTTGAGGAGTTTTTTCAAACCTGAACTTTAATACATGGAGAGCATGATCGTTTGGATTCATGGTTAAAGGAAAAAGTGTACCCAGTAAATGAAAGATTAACAGAACAAGAACAGCACTGAAAAAATCAGAAGAGGAAGAAATTCCCATGGTTGAAGGCGTCAGGCATGAAGTAAAAAGTTAACTGATCTGTTGCCAGTTTTAAAAGGTTTTTTATCCCTTTGCCCTCCTGACACTAAAGCTGTTTACCTCCAGCTACTAAAAGTAAACCAACAGCTCCTGACCAGAGAAGCAGGGTGGTTCTCTATGGGGCCAGGCTGTCTGGCTTCCAATGTGAAACACAAATGACAGCGTGAAGAGCACAGCTGTCTCAGTCTTCACAGGCTGGTAATGTCTGTGACCCGGCAGGCTGTGAGATGTGATGGCAGCCAGAGGAGCTTCTGGGCTCCGAGCATTAAAGGAGTCAAAATAATAGTTTCTTTAGTAAGTAGCCGTGTTAGAAGCAGGGTTATGTACAGTACGCCAGACATTATTTTGATATAGACACCCCAAAGGGTACATCGATGGCTATTACCATGCTGTAATATATCTTAGTATTTAAGTTTACAAGCATCTTTTTGTTCATTCAATTTGTTGCTAATATTTAACCATTTTAAACCACTCAAAAATTGGTTAAAATGGTCATAAATTCCTCCAAAAGATACAAAATAATACACTTAGACCTTGAGGAACACCGTAGAAAGTTCATGCTATGGTTTGGTTCATTTTTCAGCAATTAGAAGGAAAACATTTCTGCTCTGGAAAGTTTTAAGAAAGCTACTTATTTTCATTATTCATATATGACAGCCATTTATCCTCTGAATGCAGTTTGAGGTTGTGAAATCGATGCTGTGATTTCCCCAGAGGTACACACACAGGTCATTCAATAGATTAAGGTACAAAAAGATCATTAGCCTTAAAAGCGGAGACTGCTACAAAGAGTATCTGTCTGTGGCTCTGGTAAAGACAGATTGGGCATGCCTGGGGTTCTTTTGGATGTTAAGGAAAATATACATGTTGTGGGTTGTTACCAACTAATGTTTACAACCAGTAGTAAATCAAGAAGGAGCAAAATTGTCAAGGTGGATCGATTGGTGTTTAAATGATCCTGTTGCCTACCAAAAGTCCTTATAACTCAGTCTACGGAAACTTGAAGTAGGGAAAGATTGTGATGATGCTGAATAAATGATGGTTATGTTTAGGGAAGAAGAAGAAAGTCAAACACGGACACTCTGTACATCCATTGCTACTTTATAATGTTCTACTAAGTGTAGAGTAAACATCTTTAGTTTTAGACTGTTGGAACCAATTTTAATGATGGGAATGTTCTGGATATGACAAACAGGGATTTAAAATGTCACATGTTAGCACGTTAATGTCAACAGGTAAAGGGCAACACACACATACTGTACACAGCATCTTGGCATTAAAGTCAAAACAGCAAATGTGGTTTGTAATGAAAGTCCACTTTTAACTCAAAAACGTGTTTTGCTTCTTTGCTGGAAGTTTAACAGTAGAAAGTTATGTATGTTCACGTTCACCTGCTGAAAGAGGAACATTTCTGCTTTTTTTACTTTGAAGACTCAATATGATGTGGACAATTGGAACCTCAGGGGCATAAACATCGGATATGGACTCTCCAATGGCGTAGAACATATCTGAAATGAAAAATGAAAAACAAATTGCATATATGAATGGGTGTCATTTAGAGATTGCTGCGGGTTATTCAGGTGCCAGGGTCCTTACATTTTACATGCTGATCAGTGGCGCATTTTAATGGAAGAGTGCTGTTATAGGTGTAAGTCATTTTACTTCAATTATTTCTTGCTGTAACAAGTCAACATGTCTGCTGTGATTTTCTGCAGGAAAAAGAAACGAGCGGTAAAAATGATGATCACCATCGTCCTGCTTTTCACCATTTGCTGGGCCCCATTCCACACGGTCCACATGTTGTTTGAATACAGTGAGTAGGACGTTTCAATGTGAAAAGGAAATAGGAACAAAAATAACTTAAAGGTCACCTATTATGCAAAATCCACTTTTCTATGTCTTTTATACATAAACACGTGTCCCCTCTGTGTAAAGAGATTCTGAATGTTTCAGGAACAAAGATTGGCTCTCTTTTTGTCCTGATCCATTTATATAAAAACCTGTCTGCAAATGAGCTGATCTAGGGCTGCACGATATTGGAAAAAACTGACATTGCGATTTCCCCCCCCCCCCCTGCGATATATATTACGATATGAAAACATACAGGAATTGAAGAAAATACCGTTTTTTTCCCCGCAAACCATCCTTTCTTGAACTTTAATGCTACTGTATACAATTGGTATTTTTTTAACTATATTTAACCGGATGAAGGATTTTAGTGACGGACGTCTGGATCTTAAGTTATCAGAGCAACAAGCTGAGCTAGCTCGGTTAGCAGCGCCGAACTGTCCTGGAGAAACACATGAAACCACTTTATTCAGTGTTTTTACCTTTAATCACGGGGTCCGTTTGCTTTGGAGATTTGATTGTGGTTTGCTGTGCATGCAGAGCCTGCATGTCACTCACTCAAGTACCCCTGACATGAGAGCCGCACAAGTTTTCCTTTTGTAGCAAGCAGCAAAATAATTGTAACATGACGTGTTTGAGTTAATTTGCCTCGCAAGTCCTAAAAAAATTAATTAAAAAAATCGCACGTCCACGCGATGTGAATATCGCGCATGTGCATATCGCGATTATCGTCACGACACGATATATCGTGCAGCCCTAAGCTGATCACATTTTGGCCACTTTATGATGTCATAACGATTTGTTGGCTTGTGTAACCATTAGCCAATAACCAACCAAGGTAACACCCCCCACCTTATCACCCGAATCCCCTCCTAGAGCACCATTGTGTTCTTTTCAACCAAATATCTCTCAGAGGGGCGTGGGGAGCAGAGTCCTGCACGGGTCTGATTTTTAAGACCCGATCCCGCCCCGCACCCGCGACGTGCAATACCGAACCCGCCCTGCTACCCGCACATATTGCCAATTAGTTCCGCAAACCGACCCGACCCATCGGCACAAGATCCGCAAACCGACCCGAACCCGCATATCCTAGGAGCAGTGAAAACATGCAATTATTAACACACGCAGTTGCTATAATATATTGATGAAAAACAGTATAATAGGGGACCTTTAAATGCAAATCCTATCTGTCTGTGAAGCTTTACAGTTTGTGTTCAACCATGTCTGTGTTTCATTCACCAGATGACTTGGAGAACAAATATGATGGAGTTACAGTCAGTATGATACTCGCCATCGTTCAGGCCATGGGGTTCTTCAACAGCTTCAACAACCCCATCGTGTACGCCTTCATGAACGAGAACTTCAAGAAGAGCTGCGTCTCCACCCTGTCCCACTGCATCAGGAAGCCTGACCAGCAGATCGCAGCGGCGGCGCCTAAACTGACCGTGCAGTTCATCAAACCTCAGAGCAGAGAAGCCTTCCTGAGGACAGATGAAGGCGATAGCTCCAAGCAGAACTCTGCAGCGAAAGGACCTTCAAGTTCCTCTCTTGGAGAGAGCTTGATGGAAATAATCGGGGAAAAGGTCTCTACCATCCAAACAGATCTCCCGGCAAACGACTCCTCTCAAGTCAAATGAGAACTGGCTCAAAGTTCTGGTGAGCGACCGTTGAACACCATCCTGTTGGCTGTAAATCAACCAGCTGGGGATGAGTCAGATGTGGTTTCATGCCTCACAGTTTTGGTTCGAAGACCCAAAAAAGTCCAATAGCTTGGGAAAGGTGCAAGAGGCAATAGAATATTATTTTTGTTGTGGTGGAGAAAAAGCAGGACGGAATACCAATGACAGCATTTTTGCGATAAAGAGGACTGTCCTTGGAGCCATCCGTACCAGCGGTCTGACAATGAAATTGTCATTTATTTTGTAAATAGAGGTAAATGTCTAAAGTCTGCAGGAAATTCATCCCCTCTTAGTGGGAACTTATTCAGTGATATGTTGGAGGGAACTGTTGAGAAAACGGCAAATAAAGCACACTCACTTTACTGAGCCATATGCCTTTTAGGCAGGATGATCAGAGACACTGCTCTCACTTATCTTTCAGTTGAACAATTTATAATTTCATGTAATGTAATGTTCTCCTACAATGAGCAGTTGGGGTCAATAGACAGCCCTTGTACAGTTCTATTTAAAAGTGGCCCTTAATCACCATTAAGGATTTAGTCAGCCATAACGTGTTATAGTTAATTGGAGAATAAAACAGATGTATTTATATGTGCATTGAAATTGTGCAACCTTATACGACACGTATTTAATTTGATCAGAATCTCCTTCTATTGTTTTATGTCTTGTCCTTGTATGTTTCTTTGTAAAGCGACATTGAGGTTATGAAAGGCGCTATATCAATTCAAGTTATTATTATTATTATTATCACTTTATACAATTTTTTAGAACAAATTCAAACAAAAAGCATAAATAATATGCCCTGAAAGGATTGCTGCATTACACACACAAGGGACACAATTAGTTTTTATGTTGTTTGCTCAATGGTGCTGTGGAATATTTTTGTATTGTTGATATATAAATGTAACTTAAGTGAATGTTATCACTTTGGTGCATCTCCAAAGTTAGCTAGACGTCCTGTGATGATTTGTTTGGTAACAACAGCTTGGCTTTTAGCTTCTATACAGGGCTCTATGCAGATTGTCTTATTAAAGCTGTCGCTTTGTTTTTAAATGCAGATCGCTAGACTAGAATGCCAGTAGCTTTAGTTCATGGCTTGTGTCACACAAGTCCTTGAACAACTGTGTCAGTGGCATTTTATACCGTGTGCTCAGTCTCTTATGCAAGAAACTAATTTATTAGATGACTTATTGTAACTTGTTTCTTTCTTTGCGGCATAAATAAAAATGGGGTATTTTAAATAAAGGACTGTATGAACATGACTTGAGTAGGGAGGGGGTGAACCCTAATGTTTCACTGTTTAATAAACCAAGGCATTCCCCGGGGCAATTAGTATTTTGAATTGTATTTGTTGTGACATTTCGACATACTACACTACAATATTTTTGCTGATATTTTTGAAATAGTATACCATTACTTTTTTTCCCCGACATACAATACAAGGTTATTTTTCCCTGAAATGTTCAACATACTGCAACATAATGATTTTTTCTAATATTTTTGACACATACTATAGACTTTTTTCCGAAATACTATACTTCTACTATATATTTCAGACATACAAATAAATTAAAAAAAATTATATTTGAAACTTTGTAAACAAACATCGAGTCAATGTCCGGTAATGATCTGACCTCACCGAACCTCACAGGGTTAAAACAGTGTCTTGAAACGTTATGTTACTAGCTTTAGAAATCGATTGGAAACTATTCCTGATCACTTGATCCACAAATAAAAATACTTTCCCATGATTTTGTTTATTTTATTGGATTATATACATTACTTGGATTCACACAGGATGAAACATTTATACTCCAATGAACTGCTGCCTATCGAATATTCTGTGAAAAATGTTAGTTTTTTAGAAAAGGAAACTGTAAGGTTACATCTCTGAAAACAAGCATTTTATTATACAATGCCAACATAAGTGCCAAACCAGAAGAGACCAAATCTTCTTTATGATTAAGAGGTACACTTTTACAGGCATTATATTGAAAGATCATGTGATTTTCATAACATCTTAATAAACACAGGAAACACACAAGTAAAGAAAGCCAAAAAGTTACATCAAAGCCACAGTTAACTGTAAGAAGCAATTTCACTGCCTCTTACATGCTTACAGTACAAACGTGTTGTGTAAATGCAATGCTGACTCCTCACAGTCTGTGGCAACTTAAACAATATCCTTCGCCCCCGCAAAAGAGACTTCATAATCATATTTTCTGAAGATCTCCACAGAGGAAATGTCAAAGTCTTTGCCAGGCACTTCTGTATTTGCTGAAAATAATCTCAAGATGTCTGTAGACAGCAGGAGGGGGGGAACAAACAATTTCAAAACATCTTTGCTGCTTCTTCCCACACTGCTATGTGATCAGCGGTATATGGAAGTCTGCATTGTCAAAGAGGAGAGGCCTTTTGACTGGAGAGGGATCCTTCTCAGCCTTGTGGAGCAGTTTGAACAGTCCTGTTCCGATGTTCATTGGGATCCCCATGATGATACACTCAGACACACCTGAAACAAGAACACAGTAAATATCAAGACCCACTACAACAAAGAGTGAAGCTCTATTTCCACACAGAGATGAAGCATGTCTTTACCACAGACTGAGTCCTTTTGTCCGAAGTACGCGGCATCGAAGAGATGATCAGCTGTTTTCTCGAAGGAGGCCAGCATGAGGACACTCTCCTTCATTTTGGCTAAACCAAACCTGGTGATTCCCAGTATCTCCCCCTGAATGGATAGAAAGACAGATTGCACACATTTGAAATGGCTTCTGACACTAGGAAGATATATCAGTATTTGCACAGGTCATACCTTGTAGGACATGAGATCTGCTAGAAGCATGACGTGGCGCCGGTCAATGCTCATTCCATGGTTCGACATAGTGTACTGAATCTCATTTATGATGGTGGATCTGGCCGCCTCAATACCCAAAGTCTTCTCCACCTAGAAAAATGCAAATAAAAGCTTGTAAGCACAAGATAAATCACGCCAGTCGGTTTAGTGAAGGCCATTTAACATTCTGCTTCAAAGACTGACTCGACCATTTACATAGAGATGAGGATACACTTTTAAAATGCATCTTTTTTTTTTATCTCATACATTCCGAGCCACAAGCTTCCATCCACAAGAATACGGATTATTTTGATCAGGAGCAGATTTATTTTAAAATGCAAGTCTTACACCGCAAAGATAGAGAGAATATCAGCAGCAGCATCAGCCAAACATTCTGCCTCAGACTTTAAGAGGTTATTTATTTCCTTTATCAGTAGAGCCACTGAGCGAGGCAGCCCCAGGAGAAAGTGTTAGCTAAGCTTTGGTTTGCAGGCTACATGTTTTTGTTTATATTCCATTGTTCATCTGACAGGGAAACAGAATAGCAATGAGCAGGAGGGCAGATGTGGAACCAAACTAAGGACTCATGCAGGGCTCTTAACCACCTCTCTACATCTCTGTTTGCAGATACCTCATATGTGTTGTTTGAAGTAGTCTTGCTTCCTTTCACTCCATGCGTTGCCATGACAGCCCTCAGGTTGTCCCCCTCCACCAGGAGCTTGTACATGGTCTTGGTGCTCTGTTCGTCGATGTGAATCACAGCTCGGGAAACTTCAGGTATTCCTTGAACCACCACCTTTCCAATTGAGAAATGAAAAAAATGAACTCTACTTTTCAACACATTTAGGAGCACCACGTGAATTAAGATCCAGCACAAAACTAAGTACTAATCAGGGCTTTGGAAACAAACTAATTTCTAGGTCAAAAAATCTAATTATGAATGTGGAGAAAAGCAGATTATCACCTTAGGAAGTTCCCCTTTTAATTGCTGCAGCACGTAGTACATGGAGCTTTTGTTGTTTTCTCGCGGAGACACACACACCACCGCCTCGCCGTGCACAGCGATGTCTCCCGGCTTCACCCGGAGTTTGGACATGCAGATGGAGTAACGCACTGTTTCCGCATTTACCTGGAAGAAAAACACGAGAAATCTGAGGCAAAGCATCCATTTGTTATTCTTTAAACAAAACACAAAAGCACTTCGGATAATGTGACACTCCAAAACAGAAAGCCATCAAACAGTGAGAGGAAGAAAGACTTTGGTGCTTCATCACAGGCTCTTTGTTTTAACTCCAAAATCAATAACATTGAAATGTGTCTTTAGGGTGACTTACAAAATCTGTCCAGGGACTACAGATGAAAAATAGCCTCTTGAATAACTCTGGCACATTTACAGTTTAAATGTTGATTAATGTGCACTGTCCCTGTTGATAGGGTTCACTATTCTCTCTCTGGACTCAAATTATTGTGTCACTATGACAACAGTATTCAAAAATAAATGAATACCCACATAAAAAGGTGCATTTCCCCTTGTAAATGTGTCCTCCCCCTTGTGTTTCCATAGATATCCAACTGTTCCTTGAAGAGATCCCTCTTAGGTGGCCCCGAAAGAGTCGAATTGTCAGGAGACATCAATCATGTCCCCTGGTGAGGTATACGTCCTGTTTAACTTTAAAATATGTATCTGTGGCATGCTCAGATGTAGAAGTGAAAAAGTACATCTTGAAAAGTTGAGCAAACCAACCCTGCAATATCAGTTACACTCCAATATCTATATTTGGTTTGTTGTTTAATAGATTGTCAAAGTTTTCTTATTCAATAACTTAACTCAATTTCCAAATGTTATCCTCTTAACAACAACAACATGGTTAATTACTGGAGAAAAAAAAAGGTCTAGCAGGGCGAGTTGTGATCTCTCCATGGTCCCAGATTAAGCAATTACTGTGTAATCATGGGTAGATAAACTCAAGCTGTTTTTAATCAGTGTGGAAGTGGGCATGAATTTGGAATATTGTGACAATGTGCTACTAAAAATAAAAAGATAATGGGTGGTACCTCCAGGCGCAGCAGCCTTATTCTCTCCAGGGACAGTTTCACCAGGATGAAGCAGTCGTCGGGTAGAAACACCTCTTCTATGTACTCAGAAATCTGAACAGAACAGGAAGAGACCGTGGCTTCATTACAGCACTTCAACATGTTCGCACACGATGACCTATGGACAAAATGGTGTATAAAATATGCATGCGGTTGGAATACCTCTCCTAGAAGTGTTTTCTCGATTCTCCCCTTCACCAGCCGGGCAAAGTCAGCGTCTTCGTCCACATCCAAATGAGCCGTGATTATAGGGGTGCTGAGTGGTGAGGAGAGGACTAAATTAGGGATGTGTATACATTACTGTGACACAGATGATGCTGTTGCCCCGCACAGCTTATTCTGCTAAGTGCCCTAATTCAGTGTCTAAACCATTGACTTAAGAAGGAAATGCTTAATTAAAAGTGGCTTAAAGCCACAGGAAATGTCAGACAAAAGATCTGCTTCCTCTCTCTTCTCTGCCGTTATTATCTCTCAAACCTGATGTTCTTTGATGCATTGATGATCTCTTTGATGCGAGGCACCCCCAGAGTGATGTTCATGGACGCCACACCGGCGAAGTGGAAGGTCTTCAGGGTCATCTGAGTGCCGGGCTCTCCGATGCTCTGGGCACAAAGAGCTCCCACCGCGGAGCCCGGCTCCATCTGAGCTCTGCACGGGAATACAAAAAGCCAATCACTAGACACAAATCCACTGTCAATCTGCAAAAACGTTACCAAAGCTAATGAATGTACTGTGTGAATGTACTGTGTGAATGCACATTAATCATAGAATATCGTTTAATTGTAAAATACATACAACTAAGAAATCAGATTTTTAAAACTTTAACAAAAACAATTATCAAGTGAAAATGTGGTTTCAAATGTAGCATTAGCAGTGTCAGCACAGTTTAACACTTTACTGTTAGCTATGCTAGGGACATGGCTTCTGAAATAGCAATGGCTTTCTCTCAACAACTACAGGAGGGTTTGACATTAGATCGGTGTAAAATCCTCCATGGTTACCAAAGAAACCATCAGGAAGCCAGGTGACGTTAGCGATCAAATTCTTTCCGGTCAGGACCTTGAAGGTTGACATTTGTGGTGGAATGGAAGGATGGTCATTGATTTTGATACAGACCTTTAAGGATGATTGGACAGCTTTCGGGACATTTCTCCAGCATACTTTTTTACGTTGAATTTGGGGTGGATTTGATTAGAAGAAGAAGAATTGGGAGGGATGAAACCCTCTTTAATGGTCACACATGCAAGTCACCCATCCTAGTACCAGGAGTCTAGTAATAGGAGCAGTGGGCAGCTATTGTACAGCGCCCGGGGAGCAATGGGAGTCGGGGGGGGACGGGGGATGTCCGGTGTCTTGCTCAAGGGCACCACGGCAGGGCAGGAGGTGAACTGGGACCTCTCCAAGTAGCAGTCCACACTTCATATTTAGGTCTGGTCGGGGACTTGAACCGGCGACCCTACGGCTCACAGTCCAAGCCCCTACTGACTGAGCCACTGCCGGACCTGTAGCTAAACTATACTGTACTAAATACTGTTGTAACTTTAATCATAAACCCACATCTTTATTCTTGACCAATTTATGCAGTGACTGGCAAGGTGGGCGCAGTGAGAAAATAAGCAGCGTTTTAGTCTTTGCAGTCTATTTCAGTCACTGTAAAAGCGTCACTTTGAATGCGTTCCAGGAAAAACTGACTGAAAATGTTTGCCATTAACTTCATATTTCAATGAACCACAGAAAACAGG